GAGAGGGCAAAAGTAGGAGAGAAAGGGATCATGAGGTGAGGGTATGCTGTAAAGTGGGGTTGAAAGATGGACATTATGGGGCCTTTAAATGCTTGGAAAAGAGACACCATTTTTTGCAGCTTAATTTAAGTTACGAGCATAACCCTAAACCTATCGGCTATCATAAAGCCGATGAAGGCTCACACAGCTAAGGGAACAACCTTCCTAACCTGTGCCTTTTCTTCGCAGCATCGATCAGACTGGAGCAAGCCAGTCCCCAGGCTGTTTATAGTCAACATAAACCCACGGACCCTACAACCAGTGCTCAAGTGATCAATAGAGGTGCGAATTGTGTTTACTCCTGTGTTTCATGGCCTTTGAAATGTCTCAGATGGAGGGGCTCCCACTGCTTTCATTTTCTTCCTCATGCTGTTCTCTCTTTGTCAAGCACACACATAAACATGAAGACACAAAGACAAACATTACTGTATGTCAGTCTGTCGCTGGTGAGTCTGTCACAGTGGTTTGTAGGCCAAAGCAAGCACGTGATCAATATCTTGTCTTTTCCTTCTCATTGTGCTGTTCTCTGTTCTCTGTTAGCCAACCGTTCTGTGCTTCCTAGGAACAATAACAATTTGGGTTTAATCTGGCATGAGATGATTCAAACCTATTGCGCAAATTGTCCACATTCTGTCTGAATAACAAGACTCCATAATATAGTGAATGGGAACTTTGTGTTCAGCTCAGAACAAAGACCCTGCAGGTGGAACCAAAACAATATGTATATTATATACTGGCAACCTTTCTTCTTATGTTCAAATACAGCAGAGGACATGGTTCATTATTAAATGGCCATCTGCAGGCTGTGTAGTGGGTAGCCATTCTCAGCTTGTGGTCATCTGCAAGTGGACAGAACAGCCAAGGCACAATCTCCACCATCTTTCATTGCTTCTTCTTGACCATTAAAACACTCAAAGACTATTTATGGATGCAGTGCACACCTGGGTACAAACTGCTCCTGAAGGTAGCCCTGAGGGAGTGATGGAGACCACAGTTAGTGCTCTAAGTGGAAGGCTTGGAGGAAGGGGATGTGTGTTTGATTCAGGGCCTATTGGTGTAGCATCAGTAGGCAGCTTGGTCCAAATGACCTCTTGGCCGTTTACCCCCTCCCACTGTGGTTAAATGACAGAGTGGCCCTGTTGCCATGTCTGGTGGGGGGTGAAATAAGAAACAACCCTCCTACGGTGGGGGTGGTGGTTTGTTACTGTGTTAACACTAAAGAACTTAGTAAAAGTAATTCAAAATGATCACAAAAAATACGAGTGCCAATGACTGCATTTTATTGCACAGGTTTACATAGGCTCGAGGGAGATCTCGCAGGTGTCAACACATGAAACTAGCAACCCCAAAGCTCTGACTGCAGACTCATGCCAATGGGATAACATCTTTCTATCTAAAGAAGATTAAATGAATCCATGGGAGGTGTAGTTTAAAAAACAAAAAAAAATGTAAATGGTGAGAAAAAGTAAGTTTGATATGGGTGTGGCCCATATAGATCCAGGAAATGAAAGAAAAAGGAACAACTTCCAGAGAAAGAAACACATCACCTCAGTGATGGTGGTAAGATTGGATCAGATTTACTGCTCCCCAATCATCCATATACATCCACATATGTATATGCCAGCGTTCTCCTGGAGCTATGTTGAGTCAGCAGCTCCTCTGAGGGATTCTCATTAGTGTGCAATGTACCCTAAATATTTATTTTGTGATGTTCCTAAGCTTGTACAGAACGAATTGCACCCAGTGAATCTCCCCTATTGAAATAACCAACCAGTTTTTGCTGCATACAGCCTGCTGTTATTAGTAGTATAAATATTTACACTTGCTGAGCTCTTCTAGTACCTATAATCAGCATGCAGACAGATAAGCTCACATTATCAATTGTCTGTTTGTCTGTTACGGAGAAGAGCTACAGGTTGTTCATTGCTTTAAATATCTGGGTATCATAATCAATCATAAGGGTTTATTTAAAATTGAAGAGCTGGCCTCTGGAGCCACTGTATATTTGTTGATACACTGGTAGATAACAAGTTATTGTGGTATCCCAGGTTGTTTACATCTCATATGACACAGGAAGTAGTTTTTATGGGAAATGAAGTTCAGCAATCTTCACATTTCTCCTTCTCTCTTTTCTTTTAATACAATATAAACATGTCAATCACTCTTGGTAACCTGATGACTTGACAAACTGTACACACCTGGGTGTGTATGAGTCAGCACCCCCTGGTAGAAGATGTTTACTGTGACACACACTGACAGATAAAGTTCAAACTCTCATACTCTAAAGTGAAGCCTTCCAGTGACTACTGCTCAGGGGAAACATTCCTTTGAGTTACTCTTGCAGACTATTAATGTGGGAAGACTCTGTTGTTCCAGCTGACATGACTTGTGCTTGTCTTGACCTGATTCCGAGCAGAAACCACCGCAGGTAAGTAAATACCTGGAGAGCCAGGAGCCTCTTCATCACGGGAAATCTCACTTCACACTGACTTTATTATTGGGCCCTGCAAACATATTCAATGTAATGGGTCGGTCCACCTACATTTAAGAGAAGCATATTTTCTTCTTCTTGTGATATCTAGCTATGCAGAAATGTAATAGTATAATAATATCCAAAGCCTGAAGAAATGAAACCAGAACTATCTGTATGGTTACCACAGAGATAATTGTGCTGCTGTGTTTCTTCTTGGTAATCTGCTTTTTACTCTGTTGTAAAACATTAATGACTATGACTGTTTTGCTGATTTTGCTACACACATGACAATCTTCACATAGGATTTTTTGTCAAATACAGAGTGTTTCAAAGTGATACACACATCAAGCATCAAACCTAGCATGTAACGTTACACCAGCTAGACATTAAAGGCAATACAAGTCACAAGATGCATACAAATCCATTATCTGCCATTCAGTGGCAATACAAACGCAAGCATTTTAGACCAGGCCAGAGGTATTCAACACGTTTAATAGCTTGCTGCCAGTGTTTTGGTTAAACGTGTGACCGAGTCTTTCTGGTGACTCTCGGCCAAATGCATCCATGGTTGCTCGTAGTGATGAAAACACACAAAACAAAATCATGTAAGTGTCCTCGGAAAAGCCTTGAATCCACAATGACTTAATAATGTGTGTTTAATATGTACACCAAACATTTACACAAGTTACAACAAGCAACCACAGACGCATTCTGCTGAAAGTCACCAGTCGACACGTAAAAGTTTTTATTAAATGTTTAAAACTTGCTAACTCGTCTTGATGTTTGGAGCAAAGCGTCACTTCCTTGCCAACATGTGCAGCCATATTTTGATGTCAGCTGTAAAAAGGTTAATTTGTAGGTAGCCTATATTTGAAGAGTTTTGAGGTACTTTACAAATTAAGTAATTAACATTTTATGCTACTTTGTATTTCTAATCCACTATATATCCCAATTATGACAATTTAGGTTCATAGTTACTTTTCAGATTAAAGGAGTACTCAAATGATTTAGCATTGCACTCCAAAACATTGTCCGACTCACAACAGATCAGAATTAATGGAGAAGAGATCTTTTTTGAATTCCATGCATTCTTCCTCCTTGCCTACATTACCCACAATGCAACTCAACCAGTTTGGGTGTGTTATGCAAGTATCTGGCCTCGGCTCTAATGTAGCCTTGCGCCGCTTTCCTCAAGCAGAGATGAGGAGCACGCTGCAGAGGTCTGGTAAACTCCGTTCTAATATTTCTATGCTCCAAGTCTTGTAAATTTGTGTGTGTGTGTGTGTCAAACTGAACTAATTAATTAGCTCATCTCTTTGCTTTAATGTGTATCAAGAAGCAGTTGCAGGAATATGAAGAGAAAGCAGTAAAATCTCCAAGTATTTTACATTACAGTCATTTAGCGCACACTTTTATCCAAAGCGACTTACAATTCAGATTCTATCACATTTCTACACCGTAGGCACAGCTACGGGAGACATTTTGGGATTAGGTGTCTTGCTCAAGGACACATCGACATGCGACTAGCAGAGCCAGAGATTGAACCGCCGACCCTCTGATTGAAGGACGGCCCTGCTATCCACTTAGTCACAAGTCTTGTATGTTTGTTTGTCAGTCAAACTGGACTAATTGAATCGTCTCAATCAGCTGTGTGTCTTCAGCTGCAATCAAAGGTTGCCATGCTATTGAGTGACTCCGGTTCATTTAATAAAAAAAAATCAAGATTAGGCACACCTCAAACCCCTGCCTTCCAGTCAAGAACCGTGAGTCCAATCACCCAAATATTATGAGAGAGAGAGAACAGATTCAGCTGAACGCATTGATGTAGAATTTGTTTGTGGTGTCAAAAATGTGAGAACGGGAGTGGGCTCGGAAAAACTGTGTCGGCTTTCCTCCAGATATTTCTGGTTTCAGTTTCTATGGGAGTCGATGCAAAAGCTCTTCGTGAACGTACCATCCAATACACACCAATGTAAAAATCGGAGGTCATCTTTTCCTAAGCTTCGAAGAAAGTTGAATATTAGAAAAATTTCAATGAGATGGGCTTGAATGAAACCCAGAATGTATAAAATGTGAGAAACATTTTAAAATTAAGTCTCTAGCTGGAAGTATGAATGAGTACATAAGAGTTGAAAAAGGTTTTTTTTTTGTAAGTACCATTTATTTGAATGCTGACTTTTTCCAGTTAAATATGGAATATTTCCATGGTAGGAAAGTTATGAATTATAAAATTAATAGCAATAATGCTCTAATTAAGCTGAATTTTTAATTAAGTTTCTACTTTGAAATATTTGTAAGGAGTTAAGGGACAAAAAAGCAGCGGAATAATAAAGAGTAAAGAATAAAGATAAACAGTTTGTAAAACCCAATGATAAAGGATCTGAAATACTCTATACACAAAGCATACAGACTCACACCTTTAAGCATCCAAGTCCTGGAATTGACGTGCACTATTCTCATATGTGCACGCACAAACATTAACACTGGCATTGACACAATTGTGCTTTATTGCTGTACAGGTACAGTACTTATAAAACATTGGGAACATAATGATGAAATATCACATAATCTTTTTTCTTTCCACAAACACATATGTATGCCAGTTAAAATATACTGTATGTCATGTACAAAATAAAGACTACAATTAAAAAAACAACACTATGAGAGATAGTGAGATACCCCACGTTTAGCTGCTATAAGGGACAATAAGATGGCCAATCTGCACTGGCTGTAGCACCAGAGAGCTGATCTCAGAGCAGAGATTTTTAGATGCCTGACTAACAGCGACTGGCAGTAATCTGGCTGCCAGAGTTAGGCAACGCTTACAACAGACTGAGCTACGTCAGGGGATTGTATATGACGGAGCCGATCTGTGCACGGATCGGTCCAGTAAAAGGTGGTTGCGGATGGATAAAGAGTGCATGGATGAGAGACGGGGGACAGTGCAATGATTCACAGTGCAGGGAGAAGCAGTTCTTCACATTAGACAGCCTTTTTTGTTGTTGGATGTTTTCAGCATGAGCACATTATAAAGGGCCAGGCCCAACATGTGGTCGTGCATGGTAAAAAGCACCGATATGCTTTAAAAGACAATAAAAAAAACAATTAATCTCCTCATTTCATGATTTCAGTAAACATGGTAATACACAAATCCATAATGCACACGACTAACCAGAACCCTGATCATAATGAAGGACCAATCATTGGCAAGGTTGAGTAGCTTGATCATCGGTTCCTTTCTGTTTTGCTTGATCATTGGTTCGAATCCCTGTGTGAATGAGCTGAACCACACTATGAGGAAAATGTTTGACATAGTTCTGCATTGCAGTACCGCACTATTCATGCAACCCCAATCGCAGCATACAAGGTGTGAGTCGTGGAGCAAATCAATACTTTATCAAAAATGCCGCATCCTTATTAACTAGCTTTAAAAAAAACAACAAACTGCATACATAACTTCTGAAGACAATAATCACATTAAAAAGTAGTCGGGTACACCGTTTAGATACAGGCGCATGTTCCAGTAATAAGTTACACAGGGTTCCAGGCAGTGAAAGAAAACTTTGCATTTATACATTCAGCCAGTCAGTCAAAAAAAACACAGCTCAGCTGATTTGCCATCTCTTGTGAATATCAGTGATCTTCTCCAATTCCTCTTGAATATTTGTGCGCCGTGGCGCACTGACAGCAGCCGAGATCGATCCTGTGACGGGGCTGCTAATTCGTACAGCTGAATCAATCAGACACATTGTGGGTGATCAGTGGGAATGACAAATCAATTAGAGCTATTGATAATTTGTGGCGTCAACAATCCAAACCGATCTTCGCAGATCAAACGGCTTGTTGAGACACACCCAGCCCATTGAGAAGTCAACACGACACCACAGAAACATTGTGCAATAAAACATCTATATACAATGAAAACATCTGCATTGCATCATAGGAACAGAACAACAGGGAACAAAACTAATACTAATAATGAATAGAGTATAAAGAATTTCATAGCCATAGACAATCATTCTGAGAAAAAAACAAAAAGATATTCACATTGTAAAATAAACCTCTTCTCTTTACCTTAGTCATTGCATCTAACCCAACACATTCTTAAACCTTAGTTTCACCATCATAGACAGTATTATCTTATCTCTTCCTCATCTTTTAATTCAATCTCTGTGCTTTCCTGCAATAGTAAAAGCTAGAACGTACAACACCGGTCACTATTTACAAAGCGGTTACCATGGAAACACCCGTAGAGCCGGTTTGATCCATTAGGAGGGGGGGTGGGGCGGGGTGGGGGTCAAAGACCAAGTCGGGGGGGGCTGCTTGTTCGGGTTAAGGGAGGGAAAGCAGATGAAGGGAGGACTTGGAAGGCGATGTTAGTCTGTGCCGACCCAGCCAAGGTGGAGAAATCTGTACAATAGTTGAGTTCGTCTGTGCGCGAGTTCCTGAGCTCTGCACAATCTTCTGAACAACACTGAACACATGAAACTGTTCAAGTGTCGATGAGACACGATGAGAGTCAAGTTGTTGTCTTCCGAGTGTAGACGGTTGTTTTTTTTCATGTCCTTCTGATCCATCTAGAAACAGAATCACCACTGAATCGCAGTAACAGCTATGATTGGGTCATTTATGTCAGTCTGCACATGTCAATATATGGGGACTACGTGTATACATCTGATTTTATAACTATACTTGTTAGTCTAGACATATCTTTCACAAGTTGTGTCACTTTGGCACAGAGTTTCATGTACACAACATAAACTGTATACCCGTCAGCTGAAGTGTTGTTATTTTGGCTTTACCTTTACACCTTAAGCAGGATTGGTTTTTTTTGGATCCCCGTTTCCTAGTAAAGGTTAGCGCAGTAGGTTGCATTTTAGCTGAATGTTTTTGTTCCTCAAAGGCTGGTAGTAACAATGGGGAAGAGAAGTGCACCATGGGATATTACTGAGGTTACCCTGACCCCTGGTTGCTCGTTGCCAGGGCCGCAGTAGCACTTAGTGCCCAAACATGAGAGGCTAAGTGAGAGCTGTACCTGAAAAAGGTCCCATATCCAAGCCAGTCCACTGATGCTAAAAACTGGTGTAGGAAGGTGTTGGTTGACATGTAAACTTCAGAGTGGTCTGAGACTCGGTGGCGCGCACGCACAAGCATTCATGGGAACATCACAGGATAGCACGTCAAGTATAATCAGCACCATATTCTGGGGTGGAACTCTAGCAGAACAACATGATACAGACTGATTAAAAGGGCCATTTAATATCTGACTACTATGAAAACTGCTGATCTGATCTCTACATCAGCCTCCCATTGATGGACATCATACATGTGGTCTCAGAAGAACTGAAAATAAATAATATTCTGTCTCTTTTTGTTAATAACATCTTTGATCACAAAAATAGCACCTCATGGACCTCTACTGTGTCTGAATTTTTTTCTTCTTCCATGGACGACACTCGTCAGTGTTACAGAGTGCTGATCTTGTATCGCAAAGGTTGGGGAATCCTCCACAGTCGAGGTCAAGAGGCGCGGAGGCAGGACCTTCAGCCCAGGGACGAGGCTCACACTTTGGGGGTTGGAGCTTTGACCTAGCCCCTGGGCATTGAGGTTACATGGTCCACATAAAAAAAAAAAGGAAAAAAAAAAAAAGGAGCAGGGCCAATACATGTGACTGCATCACACGACCTCTGTCACGGAGAGGCCTTCCTATTGGTCCAGAGCAGCGTGGGGGGCAGGGCCGGGGACTGAGGTGGGCGGTGCTTCCAGTCACCCCGCCCCTCACACTGCGCTCGCCGCCATCGCAGGAGCTCCCCGAGAGTGGCACTCTCATCCCTGTTGGATAGACGCAACCGCTGGAACACCTGGAGCGCAGAGCAGAGGAAAAAAACAGAGCATGTTTACAATTAAACCACACACTAAATAATGGCTTTCTCCAGAATGGATTGACACGCAGATGACAGAAAGCTGAAATGACAAAGCTGTGATTGGAGGAAGTAGGGAGAGGGGAGTGTGAATGACAAGCAGCAGTTTTATATAAAGAAAAAAAAAAAGTATCTCATTGTCATTGCAAAAGCATCTTAAAGCGGAGGAAGATGTTTGAAATACCATCATGTCTCAATCGGAGATGGCCACCTACAGAGCTAGAAAAATAGGAGAGTTTTGTCTGATCCATTTTCTTGAAAGAGGCAGCGATCACTGGGCTGGCTTCTCCTCTCAAAGTAGGACAGGTTTTCTCATGAATCATTCTAATAACAAACACTGAGCTGAATCTGGTGTGGTCACCAAGCCATCTCATGAGACAGTTGATACAGAGGGAAACAGAGAGGGGGGTCCCCTTCTCTGACTGACAGCGACTCATTTCCATATTCTGTCTTTGGACCATCTATAAATCACCTCAAAGAAGGTCTTGTGAATTACACAAGGGACCTTTGTGCAGTGAGCAACTCAAGTGGCTCATGTTCTTTCTCAGAGACACTCGGGTCAAATGCCCAAAGGTGCACACATGGTTATCATTCTGTGTAAACAACATCATCAGTCATCTGCCAGTCAACATCCATGTAAATCAATCAGACAGGAATTCCAATCTGCCTCAGTCTGTCATACCGGCGACAACAGGACCAAACCCTAACGATCAAGACCAGATTAGGAACCGGAGGTTGTAATGGGGGCAGTTGATGGGCTGTGAAAGTGCAAATAACTGTTCCCTCATGCTGGGAGATGAGATCTAAAGGATAAGGTTGGCATTACTATACTTTATATTATTCTTACCGTCAAGAAATGAAAACCACTAAACGCACAAATGTGTTGTTCTGTCTCACAATGCTTTTCTGACCTCCCTGTTCTGCCATAGCACTCAGCCCCGAGCCCATTGGTTCCTACTGAAGATGTAAATCTTGAAAAAACTGCTTATGAATATCTATTGCTTCATAAAAAAAGGTTAAGTACTTTCCTAAAACACATGGGTACTGTGGTTTTCAATAAATGTGACGCAAACAGGAGTAACCAGCACATTTGTCACGGACTATTTTCAGCCGTGGATTAATACACATTTGTTGCACTGGTGAGTGATTACAGCTGAAGGCTGTTGCTGTAAACTACAGTGCTCATGTTCATCATGAAGGAACATGTGTTCCAGTGCAATGTGTTTTTGGACAACAAGGACGCTCTATGACACAGAGGAATACGCTGTATTGTATTGTATCCTATACATTGTTAGTAGTGTAAAGGCAGTTTTAATTAAAGTCCTTTAATAGGATTTATTCTAGAAAATATATCACTATCTTTCAAAATTCTCAGAAAACTGATTAAAACCTGACTCTAGGCTGTGATTTCAGTTTCCCTTATAATTTGTTTTTTGCCTCTACCCCTCCTCCGCTTCGTATCTCTGCTGGAGTTGGAGCTGTAAGCTAATTCAAGTTTGCAGTACATAAAATGCAACATTTTCTCTGCATATTGCCAAGCATACAGTGATGCATTTCACACGGACATTGCCACATAGCAACAGACACACATGGTACACACACGGTACACACACAGGCCAATAAATGCACATTGCACACACTTTGACATGCACACATAGGCAGGGTCACATGCACATATCTGGACAACTGTATACCTGTGAGTGTCCATATGCACATGCACTGAAACACACACATACACATTGATTGCCTGCACAAGCGCCATACTCAGCGATCTAATCCATAATTTACACCTCCCTGCCAGGCTATTCTCTGCTCTGGCGCCAGCCAGGAACACCAGCTACTGGAACAGTAGACAAGTAGGAACACCCTGTCCTTCGTCAATGCATGACAGTACATGGACACACACACACACACACACACACACACACACACACACACACACACACACACACACACACACACACACACACACACACACACACACACACACACACACACACACACACACACACACACAATGCTGCAACTTCAGATACATTAGAATCCAATAATTCTGAGAGAAGAACATTTGAACAGATTTATAGTTTGCCGAATTGATGCCTAAATATAGACATAATTTGAATACTCATCTTCAGAGTGTCTGCATTTAGAGATCACATTTACCCTCATGCTTAAACCTCTCTCTTATGGCAAGTATGTGGGCTCTCCAACAGCAATGTTATGTGTGGCTGTTGAAATTGGCAAACCTCGGGCGATAATATGCTGCGATAACTTCCTGGAACCTGGCTGCAGGTATTAGCTCTCATGCAACCGTATAAGCTTTCGTCAAGGCCAGTCAAGTTCTTCCACACCAAATTTGGAAAACCATGTCTTAATGGACATGGTTTCCTTTAGTGTTGCCTTAAAGAAGGGATTCATTGTATGTGTATGCAGCATTGACATTTCTTTTAATTCAAACTAAGGGGAATCTGTTACTCAGACTGGACTTTGGATTTTATTTGTTTGTCCCACCGGTACCTGAAACAACATGCACCCCCACCAATTCAGCCCCTTGCATTTTAACTTGTACTCCCCAATAAGATCTCATCTACCAGAACTGATATGAGTGATATAAAATATGAAATTGCTGTAACAATTTCATTAATTAAGTAGCCAAAATCAGAAAAAAACATGTAGACTCCATTTTTCCACTGAAACATCCTCATACTTCTGACATCTTAACCACGCCCTTGCTCACAATAGCACGGGAGAGGGAGCGCATATCCAAACCAACACGTTAATGGCTTGGTAATGTTATGTTAATAATATGGTAATGTCGGAAGTCTAGTGGTCACTCCGAACTGTCACTCACAGACGGAATGCCGTGAGGCCGCAGTGTGACAATAACCTCTGAGCTTCTCCTCAGAAAAACCACACATTCTACTGCTAAACACAGTACATGCGTGTATGTTTTATGATTGATCATTCATGCTGTGTGTTCATCACATATACACCCTGCACTCTGCAGATAATTTAAATCATTTACAATATATCGGTGCCTCTAATAAACAGCTACACCTTTAATCATTACAACATCAAGACAAGGGAAATCAATACCGCTAGATCTTTTTCAAAGACGCTATAACAGAGACCTCACTAAATAGTGTGTATTTCTAGAACCCTTTTACCCAGACTGTTGATGGGAGAAGTAAAAAGCAAAAAAGAGGGACTGCTAAGAGGGAGAGATGTCGATGACCATCGACAACCTGTGTGTGAGCTCTTTCCTGGAAATTTCACGATGGGTTAGGTGACGTGGGGATTTCAGAGAATCCTTCATTCACAAATATGCTTTAACCTTGCCAAACATGGGGGACTCATGCGGAGACACCAAAGCTCCGTCTTTGTCATCCTTACTGCTGTTATTCTGAATAGCAAACATGTGGCGCAGTCCTCCCACTTTAAGAATCATTACTTCTGCCTAGATTTTGTCGGAAGGGGAAAAAAAACTACTAAGAATATTAATGGCTGTACAATCCAATCATTTAGTTGGAAGACAGTCTGCCTATTCTATATACGATTAGTCTAGACTGCCGTAGACTACTGATTACGGGAACCAAAACAAGCCAGTCCATTCATTCCTAATGGAGTTGTCCATCCCCCTCTTCTTCCTTCATCCTTTCCTTTTCATTTATCCCATTAGATCTGCTAATCCTGTATAAACACGGTCTGGAATGCAGCTAATTGAAAGGCATTCTGGGTCACAGACTTGTTCCCATCTTCTGAATGAACTCATGGTAATGGACCTGTTCCCAACAACACACCAGATTACTGAAGTAAGGAATCAAGATACAAGTTGCAATGATAACAGCAAGAAACCACTATTTTACAGACATGTTCTGACACAGAGATGATGTCAGACACATGAGGAAGTAGATCTGGAGTGACTTCTGAGGTTATACGCTTAGTAAGAAGTCACACCAGTGACCGCAAAGAACACTGATCGCCTGTCGTATTTCCAATACACTGCATTTTCAAACTCTTATTTCTTGCATTTTCTTCCTCAGGCATTTGCAACCTTAAAGTAAGATGCTGACTGTCATGTTGCAGCCTCAAATGCAGATATATATATATATATATATATATATATATATATAAAAAGAAATAAAGAACATGGGAGTAATTTACTCCCTTTAACACTAAACAGATGTTTATAGAAATCCACAGGAAAGGAGGCATCAATCTATTCAAGCTGAAGAGTTATTGTCAGCGTTATAGTACATTGGAGTTTAAATACACGAAACAACACTTAAGACTTTGTAATCACCAGATGAATCATCCACATATCCTATACCCGATATGTCTCGTGCAATTTCAATATCAGTGACAATGTAATAATATCTCAAAGAATTATACAGTTGTTTGGATATGCTGACTGATCAGGTGCACCCAATCCTCACACACAACGGCCCTCTGCATCACTGCATAGAGATAAACTGACGTAGAGATCTTTTTGAATTTAGCAGTTTAAAAAGCGTCTCACTGAACAATAAACAATATAGGTAGCCTGAAATGAAAAGAAGAATAATGATGAGCAGGTATACAGATGCAAAGAGTCCAACAGCGGCAGTTTCCTTACAGAAATGAGGGATTAAAAAAAAAGGGGGGGGGCAGCAGCGTCACAGATTGTTGAATCAGACTTTTCACCCCAGACAGAAGAAAGGGCAGATGGATAATCTGATTCCAGACCAGTGCTTAAAGGACAAACAGCAAAGTAAACAAGGAGAGCTGGTGAAGCTAACAAAGCAGTGGTTTTCAAGATTCTTCCTCCGAGGGCCCACATTTTCAGAAGATTTGAATCTTTGGATTAAAGCAACCAAAAAATTTTATCAAATAATTTTCCTGCCTTAAAGAAGCAGTTCACCCCAAAATCAAAAATACACATTTTCCCCTCTTACCTGTATTGCTATTCATCAATCTAGATTGTTTTGGTGTGAGTTGCTAGATCGCCGTAGAGGCCTCCTCGTTGCGGGGACTTTCACGTGGGAACTATTTTCTTTCAACCATAGTTGAAACATGAAACTGCTCACAACGTCTGTAGAGTATCATGAGTAACTGGGTCATGATTTCTGGAAGGAGACATTGCTGTTGAGTTGTTCAAATGTATTTTTTTGGCACTTGTGCGTACCACAAGCTGAATATAGTCCCATTATATAAGAGAGAGCGCAGACATCTCTACATCTGTTATCTCCTCCGCTAGACCACTCACACCAAAACAAGCTAGATTGATAAATAGCACTACAGGTAAGAGGAAAAATATGCATCTTTGATTTAGGGTTAACTGTCCCTTTAAATATTGGTTATTATTGGAAACAATTGTAACTGCAATAATTGCAGGATGACCACAGTCTCCGTTGTCCATGAGGGACAAAACTAAACATTATTTAAAGCCATTCTACAAGAGGGTAACTCCTTCATACTGAAATAGAGGGTCGGGTATTAAAACTCAGACAAAACTTCTGAGGCTCTTCTTTGGTGCACGATAAGGATCATTACTTTCATGATCCCGCACTGGGTCTATGAAAAACACTGCTGTTAAGGGTGGAGATCGGCGAGGAATGGCATACACTCACCACATCCCTACATGTGAACAGGGCTTCCAGTGAACCCCCCCGCCCCCCCCCCCTCCTCGCTGTTTTAGAGGGCTGCCCCCGCACCGAACGGAGAAAAGTTGAGATGACCTCTCTGGAAGATAAAGGAGGGAGTGAGAGTAACAGCCAAGCTCATTAGAATCAAAAGGGAGAGAGAGAAAAGAAAGAAGAAGTCATAGTCATTTCCATACAGCCCAATAGCTCACATATTCTGAGTAAAAACTTGGAAAACTAGACTTTTAAATTTGCAGCACGAATGTGCTTCAGACTTTCTTGGCAGCCTCAAACGGCTGAGTTCACCCCTAATGTTTAGGCAACCTGAGAATTGTGAAGTGGGTACATTGTGTGCCCTCCATCTCTCTAGTGGCAGTATCTTACGAATGTCCTTAGCTTCTGTGAAAGTGGGACACTATGTGCTTTGTTCATTCTTGTGCTTCATGCACCACTGACAGTGATACTCAATCATTGACTGAAGCAGTCTGTGATGAATCTGAATCAGTTTTCATGTGGTGAAACTTTCTGGAACAGGATGAAACAGCTGCATTCTGGGATACAGGATGCAGCGACACAGAATATTGAGCAGAGCCTTCACATCCTGAACGCCGTTATGCGAGATATTTTAACTTGTATGTAACCTGCAATAATGTGACTTCCAGATGAAACCAATGTGGTGGAGTAAAGGCTGCAATGGTAACATCTGTGGATCGATTGTTGTTATGACAGCCGGTGTCTTAAATAAATCAAATTTCCTGTTAGAGTTTGCGGGTTCACTGCACAGCCTGTGGACACGATCTTATTAACAGCAGAGTACATGTTATGTCGCGTTGGCTGTGCTCAGCAGCCACATTTCTAAAATTGTTTGAAGTTGTCTCTCCCACATCTTTTATGTTTTAGAAGCATAAGAACATGTTTGCAGCGTATTCAGATGCTTGGTGGCTGTACATGAATATAACAACTGCAGTTGCTTTCATTGATCCGTGTTTGTGTTTACTTTGTGTGCCGATTTTGTGATTATATTTTTTTGTGATTTTATCCACAGCTCAGCAGAAATGGTAATGACTGCTAGTCAACATAGTACTTATATAAGCTGGAACCATACATACAAATACATCCAGCGTAAAGATAGTTCAGCTGACAAAAGAGACGGGGCCGGTGGACACACTCTCTCTCACACACACACACACACACACACACACACACACACACACACACACAC